ATAACAGGGAAAGTTCGTTACCATCAGAATACACTATATGTGATATCGGAGAAATGCTTCCCAATACACACAACATTGTAAGAGTTGGCGGCGTTATTGGCGACTTAAACATCAACAAGAACCCCAAAGAGGGCACGAAGTATTTCACATTGAGATCTGTGCATTGTAATAGATTGAACACGTTGAACGGCCACCTTAAGTATACTATGGTGGTCAAGAGAATTAGTGGTACCAAAATGGGAATAACTGTTCCTCTCTGCACTATTCTTTTCTTACTAGTTAGAAGATAAAGCTGCAAATTTGCGAAGTGAAATCACATAACAATTGTGAACTGTCATTTGATCTCTTGATACTCCGTTTTCTATAAGTACTCTCAAATCTTCGGCGAGCTCTTGGGAGCATTCTGTTATCGATAACATCAACGGGATTACAATCTGCTCGTGCAAAGGTTTCACGGCGGCGCTAAAAAAGTCGTGAATGTAAAAATGGCGAAGAGACGCCTTTTCCCAGAAACGCTCAAACTTATACGTCATCACGGAGTCGTACAGCAATTAATAGAAGACATTAGGGAACATAGACCAGCAGAACTAGTTTAAACTGTAATGATAGGTAAAGGCATCCACACGGCAATTTGTGCAACTACGCCAATCATAGGCGTAACGTGATCGTCCTCCACTACTCACAGACAAAAATCGCTGTTTCCAGAAAAACGATGGAAAGAAATCATTCGCTCCTGCTTTGATTTTTTCTACGGTTACCATCTTTTGTTTCCATATGTATTAAAGAATAGTAAATATGTCGCCCAGGAATTTTTCTATCAGAACGTGATAACACGTCGGAATCATGGAAACGTAGACGTTCGACTCAGGTCGTTAGTTATTCACAGAAATCAATACTTATGTCCATACTCATGCCGTTTGCAACACTGTCGGCTGCCTCCTGTACCGAGGAGCAGTTCTTCTCCTGTATCATAAACAACGTTGAATGAGCGACCTCTTCTTTTTTAACCATTCGATGATGTCGTCCTTAATCTTCCAAGCTTGCATTATTAGCTATTCAATGCAGGAATCAATCATATTGTTCCTAAGTAGATATTTTCACTTTAGCCCATCTAGATTTGAGCAATCCACAGTGGTCGTGAGACTTTATTACGGCGTCCTCTCCGTAGTCGCCCTACGCAACAGTCGTTTTGTTTTTAACCCATAATAGCCAAAGAATCTATTTGTTGGAGTTATCTTCTAATCAACTTCCATTTACTTCTCCGTCCATTTGATTGGGCGCGTGTGGAGCGGTGGTCGAAGGCGCCCTGCAATACACACACGAGATCGATCACCGCGCCCGTGGCCCACTGAGCTCTCCATCCCTTCGGGGTCAGCAGATTGGCACCAGACTTGTCTGAAAGGATAGCGTCCCTCGCTTGATATATGGGGAAGCCATCGTGGCTCATTGTAAAGGCCAGGTATGCATTCAATCACATCCAACGTTGTTTAATGAAGCCGAATGCATGGAACATTCTTCAATTGATCAACAAAGAAAGCTTTATCCTTTAACACTAATCCACTTATAGAATTTTACCAATTTAACTACTAGATTAAAATTTATATCTACACTAACAGATCCAATTTTGCTTGAATAGTTATGCCTATTTATAGAAATGTGATCCAGAAGAGACAAGGAGTGTATTACCTGAATCCAAGCGCATCCCAGTTGAATACATGACTGTTTTTGAAACACGTTTGAGCCTCTTTCTACCTCTAAGCTACGTAGCGTCATGAGTAGACAGCTGGCTATCGGCCTGGCTATCGGCTATAGACAGCCCTCGTTGAATGAGATTATCGGTGAATCAAGATATTGCTTATTCTTGCCACGATTAATGAAATTCACTAGGTAGGAAAATACTGCGGTCGTTCTTCAGGTAATGGTTTTAAATTGATCTGTATTTAACCATTTTCGTTTCATTAATGAATCATTAAGTGACATACGATGGCTTCGACGCCGCTGCTCGCTGTGACATTCTTGCACGTGCTTCTAGCTTCACGAAAGCGCCTATACAGTTCCTGATTAGATGTAGCCCCAGTATTTTCGAATGGCTTTATCTACATTCGCCAATAATCGTTTTAAGTTACATACTGAATCGCTAACAGATATCGCTATGGCTCCAATATTGAGTATATATTTGAATGGGAAAGGGGATATAGCGGCAGCTGAATTGTTAGCCTACTGAATTGGAAGCGCTAACTCAAAATTTCCACAAACAGGAGGCGAATTTGCTCTAACAACGGCGTCATGTCTTCTATGAATTATAGTGACGAATGACTATTGCCAAACATTTCCATAGTGATGATGTCATCGTTCTTAATATCAATTTCATCAAATCACCTCATTCACCTGCACATAGGCAGTGCAATTCTTGCGTATTCAAATGCTGTTTACACTGCACTTGTATTCATGAATTATACAAAGCTTACACAAAACACACCACATAGAAACCGTCAAGAGAACAAGACAAAACGGAATGTATGAAGGATTTATCGCGTTCCTCTCTTTTTCGCAGCCTGTAACATCTCGTCTTGCAAGATTTCCATCAGCTCACACCGCTTGCGACTGCGTCCTTCGAAGTCGAAGCTTAAAAAATTGTCCAAAATAAAAAAGTTCTATAGCTTTGAGCGAAAGTGGTAAACTTGTAAATTTCAATTAGTGCCTTTTCTATGACACAGTTTCGTCCCGCGTTTTTTCTTTCTCCACATGGAAATAAAAAGGAGTAAATCTTGGCTTCGTGTAAAAGTAATCACGACGCGACGATTTTCCTGAGGGTACTTTCGGTATCTTTTACTGTCGAACATTTTCCCAGCGAATTTGTTGAGACATGCGGAAATAAACTTGACGAGTAGCTTGGACAGTGGTAATTTAGGGCTTCGAATCTCAGTTCGCCTTGTCTTTCCCCCTATCCAATCTGCTGAAAACATAGTTTAGCGCTAACATAGTCATCATAGATGATCTCGACAAAACAAAATCACCGAAATCTTTCTTCAGTGCAAAATCAGTTTCATGAAGAGCTTTACCAGTGTCCAAGTACTACGATGAACGTCGTCAGTTGCGGTTTACGATCAGCCCTTCATACCACGTCACAGTGGCATCGAGATTCTTGTGGAGTGAAAGAAGCTCACGAAGGGTTGTATAATAAAAACGGTTGCTCGCTCTGCTCAATCCGAGTGGTTTTCATTTATCTAACTTTTTTGCTTTTACAACACTTCGAAATCCATATCCAATACTTAAACTATTCAGATTTACTTCATTTGCAACCGCTTGAGCGCTTCTTAGAGTGTCAGCTCAGATATTCCACATTAGCTTGTGGTGACGAAATGCTGGTGAGCCCCAGTGATCTTTATTGCCTCCAACACTCATGTTTTTGGATGAGAACTTCTTCAACCGTTTGCACACTTTATTCAAATACTATATAGATACTTCACGAATATTGGAATGTTCTCTATGTAAATCAATCTGATAACCTTTCCAAACATTTCAAATGCTTCTCCCATGACCTTTTCTCTATGACGATCTGATAACCTTATGTCAAACATTTCGAATACGGCTTCCGGTGACCTTATGGCAATCCGATAACCACATGGCTAACATTTCGTTGGCGGTTGTCTCATGAAAAACATCTGCAGTTACAGTCCTATGCTTTGACTATCGCCTTATCAGATTGCAACGCTTGTGAAATGTTTCCAGTAGCCGTCCTTCCGCATACTGTAGCCTAACTCCACCTACTGTAACCCCACTCCACCACTCCACCTACTGTAACCCGACTCCGCCTATTGTAGCCTGACTCCACCCAGCCCAAAAGCTATATAAACGGCTCCACGGCTGACTAGCTCAGGTCATAGCAATGCTGCCCAAGTCACCATATCCTTTCCTCACATCGATCTCATGTGGTCGAAGTCATATGACAACCTCTTCACTCTTGAGCAACCTGAACACAAGAAATCAGGCTGCGCCTATTCATTACTTGTATCATTGTTGTATTAATTGTACAGCTGTATTCTTATGCCATAATTGTTGAATAAATATGATAAACGGTTTGATTACCCAAGTTTGAGGTTTCCGGCATTGTGATTGCTACTTACAAGAAGTCCCGCGTGGCGTACACAAAGGCGAACAGCAAATTCCGACCGAATCGTCTTAACTACTTGGTATTCCTATATAATCGAGTCGTCCCAACAGATACGTTTGCATATCCCATGCTGTGCTTTGACGTCGTTTCGATCTGCTTCTGTGGCAGTATGACCAAGTTTTAGCTCAGAAGGGCTATCAACACGTTATACATTACATCGTTTTAATAAACACAAAAAACATAGAGTGACAAGTAGTGAGGCAAAAAGCCTTTAAAATGGTGCAGGGGAACAATTTATGCTATGGATATCTAGTCATGAAATGTGTTTGCGAAATACATAATGACAAAATCCACCAGTACTTTCTTGGATACTTGGATGGCCCGTCCTCAAAGACTGCACTAATCCCAGCAAATTTGCACTTTTTCGGAGCATAGCTAATTTAGCCATTGTGGCAGTAATTCTGAGTTCCGAAGTCAACCTAGCCATAGTCTGTCCTAGATCGTCACCACCACCCACGGGAAGTCGCCTCCTTTGTGGATCAGAGGGTGATTCACCACTATGCGACTGGTTCGTTACGAGGACGGTGGTGAATCCTGACATTGGTTTACTCTTAGCTAGGCTTCCTGATGAAAACGCCGGACTCCTTCTCAGCTTGGGAGACCCTGCCGAAGCGACGAATCCCCGCGATGTACATCGCAGCTCGACACCCAAGACACTTCCCAGAAAGGATAAGGCGGTAAACCGTTGGGGAAAATTTCATTAGCAAAAAGAAATCAACAACTCACGCAATAGTAGCTTTCTTATAATAGTTATCCCGTGAACGCTCCCAGTCCGATGGTGCACGTGATTTACCTGAATGAGTGATTAGTAAAAAGCCTTCAAAAATTATGAGAAAACCTCACTTCTATCTACCCAGACTTCAATCTTGTCGAAGCTATAGTAAATTGTGGCACAGCAGATGACAGCCAAAAATCCTCCGAGGAAGAAAAGTGGATAAATCTCGTAGGCGTGCCCAAGGCGGCGAAACAGAAAGCTACAACATGCGATTATAGTAGTTATTTTTGAAGCTACTTCTATTTGTCTACATATTTTTTATTTTACATAACCCGTTTTTACGTGTACTGTGCGGATTCTTCCAACTTTAGCGTGTGGCTTCTGTTGCTGCTTGAGGATTTTCATTTCGCCTTGAATGTCGTAAAATGGTGGCCGAGCAATTCTCCCTGGAGTCCTAAGATAGTCGGGCTGGAGCGTTCCCAATTGGATTGCAGAGTGGTTTTTTCCAGACAAGTCCTGTACCAATTTCCTGATCCCAGAGGGATGAGAGGCCTGATTGGCCTAGAGCGGAATCGAAGTAACACCATGCTTGTGATGACGGACATCACTACCACTGCGCTATGTGCCCCTTTCTCCACATAAGTCTCAATAAATTGTGATTTAGTTCTCAACGGCATGGATTTTATAAGTAGTAGAGTACAGCTTAAAGTAGTTCAAGTATCTTTAACACGATATACAAAACCTGAATTGGAAGACAACCAAAAAGCTGGAGCGCGACAAATGTTATGAGGACAAAGTGTACCTGGCAAGAGTATCTCCTGGGTGTGGTTTGGGTACACCTTTCAGTTTTGGATCCCGAGATATGTTTCTGTCATAACTGAAGAAGCCCTGCAAAGCCAGAGAAGGTTCACTATGACCAGAAGTGAAAGTAACCTATAGACAGGGCATTCATAGGGTTTTGGACATATTGTCGTTTAAATAGATAAGAACAGAAACGAAATAATGCAGCGATCTCAGATTTACAAGAGGAGAAGCGTGCAAGATGAACACATTCAAATTGAATCCGAACAATCTTATTACAGGCTGAAAACCTACACGAAATTACAAATTCTTTCATTAGAAATACAGTTAATTTGATGTCAAAAGGTTTTTTTTATTTTAACCAGGCTTAGTTGATATATACTTACAGGGATGGAGCAGCACTTGGGAGGTGCTGAATTAAAACAATTTGACTTATGCCGCACGTGAAAGGAAAAACAATGTCATTTGAACTCACAGATTCTCCCTGAGGTTTCTGTAGCTGCACCTTAGATTTTCCTGGTGCGGCAGCTGCAGACGCATATCTTGCCGCCATTGATGGCATATGAGTCGACTTAAGACAACTAACGGCACGGACGATTGACATTGCCTGAAAGTGGAATTTTGGGAATCAAGAGGTTTCCACTGAATGAGAGAGAATGATGGCTAAAGTGTTAGCATAGACACTACCGAGCGAGGAGTGAAACGAAAAGTTTTAAGTTGGCAGTCTATAATCAGTGAAACTGTGATGAATGTTCTTGAATACAGAATCTACTCGGATACTGAGATGACACGTATCTAAGAAAAATTGCAAGGCCTCAGCGGAAATTCTACATCACTGGTATTTCGGTTCGATTTTTACCTATGGCTCCGTAATGGTTGAGCCAGCGATTTCCCAGGTTTTGGAACACATGTGCATTTTCTGCCTCTTTTCATCGAAAGGATATTTTTGACACTACGACTGCAATTATACGCCAGGATAAGCTACATTACGATGATTAAATATGGTGTTGAAGGACGCATGGAGTTCATTAAAAGCAAATTTACCAATTGCCAACTAGGTGACGAGAACACGGATATGAAGTGAGTTAGAAGATAAAGATGTTGTTCGCCTTTTATACCAGCTGTACACTTTATCATATCTTCAGGATTTCAGGAATGATATGAACAGACCTGTTTTACACGTTGAAATGAGCGTGGACATGAAAACAAGCAAGACGACTCTATAGTCTCGATAGGTTGAACAGGCGTACAAAATACAATGTAAGAAAAATAATTCTAGTGCAAATACTGAGTAAAAAGCCTTTTTGTAAGGTATGTAAGTTTGTAAGGTACCTTTGCCCTGTTTTAAAACAATTCCCTGCCGTTTTAGGGAGAGGTGGTTGACATGGGTGATAATTTCACACGCACATATTTTAGGTGGTGTTTGAATGTCACTTCTATCCCTTGTGAAACCGTTATTTAGAAGGCTGTAGTAATGTCACCACACTAGTTGAAGCGGAAGCCTGTATTCTATTGAGACCTCGTATGAACACTATATGAGTCACACATGAGGCAGTGATACAGTGGTCCACATGAACCACATACTATATAGTTCGTCATACTTCCAATTGTTTCCCTTACGGCACAATCGTTTTTACGATAAAATGATAGCTTTTATGCGACTTTACTATGCATTTGTTCTATTCCGAGAAAGGCTATCTCTTACAGTTCCCAGGATAAACTTTCTGTTAACCTCGGCATTGAATTCTAAATGCGTCGTTTTCTTTCTCAATAATCGCGAGATTGTTATACACCATACGTTTACTTCCATACAAAAACGCATACAATGCAATAAAACAGTAGCTGACGTTTCGGCAGTGTCGCCTTCTTTAGAGCCTGGAAGGGCATACCGATATACAATATTACGCCAAAGGCTACAGTAACACTTACAGAAAGGTGAAAATCTATATGGCAATCAAATGGTCAACAGTTTCTCGAAGTTCTTACCGTTTTTAAGCGCCTACCACTGAGGAAAAACAGGTAACTATATTCGCATATGGTTCATGATTGCACCACTCCACATCAAAAATTGATGCGAAGATACTGGGCCAGCTCACGTGTGACCTCTGGACATTTCTCCCTACTATTCATTCTGGGGTTTTTAGCATTTATCCAAAATTCATTCTTCCAATAACACAATATCAATCTGAGATACTGTTTGAGATAACGCATGATAGCGAGACATTCTTCCTTACAATTCATTTTTGGATTCATGAAAATTATCCAGAATGCTTCGAGAGTTGTGCACGCTGTTGTTCCCGATTCCAGTGCGAGGATGGCATATGCAATTTTCTATTATGCATAAGCGGTTATAGAAGCGGTTACAAACTAGTTGCATCTGAGAAGGTTCGGTGGTATTTCAGTCACTGATACCGAATTCTCTAGGGAAACCCTTTCTATGCAACGTTTTAAAGCTGGATTTACCTTGACGGAAATAAGGCAAATACACACTAGAATTACCGTTTGGGGCTGCGGTTTTTCATCCATAAATGTCCTTAGAGGCCACGATTTCGTAGCGAATGGAAATGGCCACTTGCCGCGCCAATTTCAGGGATTCGAGCTTCTGTTCCATTCTTGTGCACTCATCGTGGCAGCTCGAAACGTGTTTCTTACAAGCACTCTTTTTGTGTGTGAAGGATGACAGGAGAGATAATGAACCAATATAACTATAATGATGCTGAGGTAACTCGAAAGACCGACTTTCTACAAACGTCGGCATAGATAGCTGATATATTTATTTATGTGATCTTATAAACTGATCTTCTTAAGCTGACGCGAGGTTGGTACAGATCTTCGTTGTCGTTGTCGTTGTTTTTGATGTTATTGATCGATGGCTGACGTTTCGGTGAGTTCGTCTTCCTTAGAGCCTGGACGTATTTAATATTAGAATATTTTTATTATTTGGTGGAAAAAAAGGTTAAAGTGTTAATGAAGATCAAACTTTCAAATAGACGCCATATTGAACAGAAAGGCGAAGTCGCCGAACGTCAGCCATCGATCAGTAACATCAAAAACAACGACAACGAAGATCTGTCCCGACCTCGCGTCAGCTTAAGAAGATCAGTTTATAAGATGCTGAGATATTTGTAAACACCGAACCGAACTATCAATGTGGTTATATTATATATATATTATACATATTATATATATTATTATTTTTTATACATTATAACTCGCCATGAAAAAAGAACGCCATGAAAAGTGAATAAAAAGTTAAATAGATTGTGATTTATACTACTGATCCAGCTTTACTGGGTACAATGCCGATATGTGCATCCCAGATCAATCCTGTTCACGGATGATTGCTGAAAGTACCGTAGTTAAAAACGTGGCTGAGAGCAAGGCGAAACCAAAGAATCCCGTGGTGGTGTTAGTGAGCACGTTATACCCGGATATGGTAGTAACGGGCTCGGTCCACACGGCATTCACCACTGGTCCGAGATTATACAAATGTCTCATCATCATTACAGTTATATTTTACATCATAACCTAAAGAATACTCAGTAAATAGAAAGTGAATACATTATGAACCAGTATGTTTCTACAAATTGGCTTTCGGTACCACTCCGTGATGTAGCCATCTTTGGACAGGTTAATTTGAATGTTCAGAAATAAAACTAAGTTTTCTTCGGCTTTTTTCAAATAGAGTTAATGTGCTCCGACTGTTCATTCAGTAACTCGAAACATTTGCCCATGTGCTCTTGTACAGAGTAGGCGATAAAACAATCGTCTAGTTATCTACAGTGGAGTAATGGCCACTTTCAACGGTTTACCCCCTCATCTTCGCTGGGAGGAGTTTCTGCGTGTCGCGTTGCGATGTATAATTGGTGGATTCATCATGCTGGCAGGTTCCCCCAACCTCAGAAGGAGTCGGCATTTTTATCAGGAAGCTCGGTTAAGAGGGAACAACTACCAGGACGTATCACCGTCCTAGTACCAGACTAGTCGCGTGGTGGCAAATCTTTCTCTGTTCCACAAGGGTGGCTACTGCCTGTAGTGGTGAAGGCTTGAAGCAGACTATGATTAGGCTGGCCTCAGAATTCTAAGAAACCACAATGGCTAAACCAACAAATCTCCAAATAAAAAACGGAAATTATGCTGGGGCCCGCACAATCAGTGAGGACGGGCCATCCAAGTGCCCAATTATCCAAGTAATGCCTTGAGATCGGTTAGTAGACTCTCTATTTTAGCCATTCTTTTAAGAAGGTTTTGAGCTGCTGAATCGAGGAGCCATATATGTCTACTGCTTCCTCACGTTGCATGCGTGGTTCGAAAATCGCTTGCATAACGAAGTCATTCGATACGTTTGTAGTACAAACAGCGGTGAAGTCAAAGAACTCCATCGCACACACGCTTTTGGACTCGCGTTACGTGGGCGATCCTGAAATATCTGGGTGTCCATAAAATGAGCTAGAGTGTGTTTTAACAGCTGGGTAAGTATTAGTTTGGAAAACCATGTTATTCTATCCGTTGGTCTATCTACGCAACTAATTATAGGTCCAATTTTGAGTAATAATGATGGATCGGTTGACGTAAGATCATCAGTGGATGTTAACTTATTACACGAGGGTTCGATTCGATGCGAAGATGAAGACACTACATCGAAGTGTCGAACGATTGTGGATCGTCGGACTCAGTGATTATGCCGTCGAACGTTAGCCGACTAAATATCTTTATCAACTTCGTGTTGGCTCATTGTTCCAAAAAGTTATTGGTTATCATTGCCGAGATTAAATAACTGTAGATTTGAAAAACAGTGAAAAACGTTAACTTATGAGTTTCGTAAATAACTATAAGAGGAGACATGTTAATAATTCAACTTCGAGTTCAGAAACAATTGATGGTTTTACACCACACGTCTTTGCAACTTTGCAACGTCTTTGCAATCTAGTCGCTGTTCGATTTTCGGGACTGAATTTTGGATTCCTTTTTAGACGTTGGCCAATGAAGAGAATCATCATCAAGATGCTTTATCGTTTCCTCAAAATCTAGTTGAAGAATCAATACGAACTCCCTGCTTTTATTATTGAGAGATAACGTCATGTTTCTAACCTTATTAGCTCTTACCACTTTAACCTCACAATTTTGCGTTTCGGTGAGGCTGGAGCGAAAGCAGTAGTAGTAACTAGTAACAGCCAACGTAATCCACTAAGCGAGCTTAGGACATATGGACAAAGCGGAAAAGATTACTAAATAAAGTTACTAACCCTGCCTGGGAATCCGAAAACTTCAGCGCACAAAACTCCTTTCTCTTCTTCTCAAGCATCATCCATATATTTCAAAAAGCCAGAAATGAACTAGAATGCCTCGTTATCACAAGTGACAACATTCTCCCACGACCGACTTTCTATTAACCTCGGCATTGTTCAGGTAATTATTCGTATTTTTGTTGAGCAAACGCGAGGTGTTACTATTCTTTATTCACGAATAAGCTGACGTTTCGGCGGATTTCACCTTCCTCAGAGCCTGGAAAGGTCAAGTTGACAGCAATATATTCGCCCAGACACCACCATAACCAAACAAGGAAACTCTAGTCTATCTGATCACTTGTAAAGTTCCGAGGGCGAATACATTGGCGAAACGGGTAGACCATTCTGCATCTATATAAAAGAACACCTAGTCGGCAAACGTAAACCAAATACTCCACTAGGCACGCCTAGGACGCAAAGATATAACGGAGAAGATTTTGAAGTAGGGCTAATGATCCTCGAGCAGGAGTCGAGAACACAAGCGCGCGAAACTCTCGAGGCATTCTGGATTAATTCCAGAAATCCGAAAATGAACCGCAGGGAAGAATGCCTCATTATCACGCGTAGTATAGGGCAGTATATAAGACTTTTATTCTGATGGGAGGGGCGCATTATGCTTCCATGTGATTTCCGTGCGGTTGGTCTCTACGCGACATACTTAGTGGAAACCTCATACAAAGCGGTGAGTGTGCAAAGCTATGTTCAATGTGATTGAAATCTTGGTTTAGAGCTTCTTTGTTTGCTTATGGAGGTGTCTGGCCGAATAGATTGCTATCAACTTGACCTTTCAAGGCTCTGAGGAAGGCGAAATCCGCCGAAACGTCAGCTTATACGTGAATAAAAAATAATAACACCTCGCGTTTGCTCAAGAAATATACGAAGAATGACAACATTCTGTATCCCAGATTTTAATGAGAGAGAAGACCACCACTAATCCACGTGAAGTCTATGCGGTTGGTCTCCACGTGGAATACTCAGTGGAGGACTTATGGAAAGCAGCGCGCGAAGAAACTACTTTGTTTTCAATGCGATTGAAATCCTGGTTCAGTATTTCCTGTGCTTATGATCGTATTTCGCGGAGAAAATGCCGTCAGTTTGAACTTTCCAGGCTTTCAAGAAAGCGAAATGCTCTGAAACATCAGTTTTTTGTGAATAAAGATTAAAGCAACAACCTCATATCTGCTGATCACGAGGACGGTGAACTGGTCAACAGGCTTTCAAATCGGTCCTTTGCCATGGTAAACGTTGTAATAATATGAAATACAAGAATAGAACTGCAAGTCAAATTAACTTTGAACTGTTTCAGTTTGATGGCTACCCATCTTAAGAGAGGGATCGATGAATTTCTTAATCTCCTCAATACTTTTCGGTTCCTAGGGCACATCTTTTCAGCCGTCTTTACTTGTTGTATTCTCATTCACAGTGAGCCCCAGTTGTCAGGCATAAACCATTCATAGGTATCTTTCGACATCTAACAAAAAAAATGTACAGATTAACTGACATCGAAGGTCTAGTAATTCAGAGTCAACCTCACAGCACTTCATTCCACGTCCACAATACTCTTCGACGGAAGCACAAAAAGCACTGTATTGTTTTACGCCCCGCTTCATCGTTGCTTGGCTGAGGAGACGATCGATGTCCGATTCTTTACCTATCATTATGGCTCAAGGTCATAAAATTCAGTTCTTGACGAGTAGCCTTGATTTAAAACGACAAACAACCTGGGACTTTTCGATGATATTTTGTGGTCAAAAGGTTGACCCTAAAACAAGTCTAACAATCTCTTCTATAAATAAGTCTACAAATCTTTTATATTCTAGAACCTTCAAATTCCTTAGTTACCGAACAACTTCGCCCATTATGTGAGGTGTTTAACGTTCAGTTTTTTGAGTAACACCTGCCTCCCTCCTTCCTCAACATGAGCTACAGAACACGTCCAAATGTTAACTGCAATATAGTTTGACGGTGAAATAGCGGTGTAGTAAAATATAGCAACAACATGCGTACCTCTAGAACGACAGGACTGAGCCTCCTCTACAACTCTCTAGTATTCTCAAACTTTCCAATCCACTAGCTATCGAGAATTTATCCTTTGTTTCTGAAAAAGCCTACGCTGTTCCATATTTTCGGTGCAATAATCCGGATGAGTTTCAGTGTTTGTCCAGCCACCACGAAATTGGGCATCTCACCACGCGACAAACGCACAAATTCGACCGTCGGGCGTTATTTGAGTTTTAGTGTAGCCTTTTAAGAACTGTTAAAATTATGCTAGGATAAAAGGATAAAGCTCTCAGCGTCAATCCCTGAGAGATACGCCATGCATTCGACTTCTTCAAGCATCGTTTGGAGGTGATTGAATGCATATCTAGCCTTCACAATGACTCGCGGTGGCTTGCCGATGTATCAAGCCACTGCTGTTGTCCTCCCAGACAAGTTTGGTAGTAATTAACCGATCCCGAAGATGGAAGGCTTTGTGGATCATGCGCGCAGGGATCGATTCCACGTATGTGTTGAAGGACAGTAGCACGAAAATTCTGTATTCCGCATGAGAAGCGAATTAATTTCTTCAAAATTCGCGTGTTGCTATAATTGCTAATTATAGGCTTTTACTCGTGCTTACATCGATATGATCTGGGCAGTAGTATTGTTCTAGCGGTTTCCTTTAAGGGATTCGGGCGAACTTCGTGGATGGCGGCATCCACCTACTTTCGAGGTATCGCGGCTTTTTCATCTCACAAAACTGGTACTGTTTCTCACTAGCTGTGAGCTAGTGCCCTGTAAATTGTCCAGTATCAATACCGCGGGTGAGTTGTAGACAATGGTGTTATTAATATTTCCGTACTTTGATAACACCACATTATTTTGTTAGAAGAAACTCTGTGTGCTTTTTGTGAATGGTCGTTGCGAAATGCTGGAACCAGCTTTGTTCTTTTCCAACTGAGTTCTAAACGAGCGTTGTTTAAAAACAACTTTTATATTATAAGAAAATATTTTTAAAATTTTGCAATCGAATTTCTTATGTTTCACATAAATCGATGCAAATCAAACGGTACAATTCTGATCTCTACTTTTTTATTGTCTGTTCTAATGAATTCTTATCTTTTTATTAGCATGATCATTCGGAGTGTATGTCATCTGGGACCCACGCACACGACAATTCAGCGAAGGTATGACTCGCAAACTTATCAGCTCCAGTTATCGTTGTTTCTGATCGATGGTTTCATTGTTCTTGATGCCAACGACTACTAAATAATCTCTTCTACTCATTACGGAGATCACTTTCTGTGATTGTTTATCGCTTATATCATATATCCTCCTAACGGTTTACCTCATCGTGGCTATGAGGTGGTCCTGGGTGTTGGGCTGCATTGGGACTCATCCTCCGACAGCCTCCCAAGTCAAGGAGTTCGGCTTTTCCACCAGGAAGCCCAGCTGAGAGTAAACCAATACCAAGATCCACCGCCGTCGCAGTATTAAACTAGTCACATTGTGGCAAATTTCCCTATGATCAACAAGGGATGCGACTTCCTGTAGTAGTAACGGTCTTCGGCATATCCTGGCTAGTCTGACATCATCCAGCAAAACACAATAGTTAGGCCAGCAAAGCTCCTAAAAGTGGAGGTTGTGTTGGGTCGCGCACAACTAGGAAGGACGGGCCGTCCAAGTATCCTAGTATATTATATATATTTCTACTCTTATGAGCAAAAAATCATTGCCGAAAGGAAAGAGAAACATAGAAATAGTTCAAAAAACAAGGAAACAAAATTTTATATCGCAACTACGTCATCGTTCACGCAAATGTGGACAGTGCTATTCATATGTACCCAAGTAGTTTTCATACTATTATTCACGAACTAAACAGAGTTGACACAGAAGAGGTCACTGAACGTGCGAACACTTGGAAAGCGGAAAACGAGCACAATTATCGCATTCCGCGCTTTTTCGCGGCCTCCAACATTTCATCCTGCAGGATCTCCATCAGCTCACATCGCTGGCGAGCGCGTCCTTCGAAGTCGAAGCTTAAATGAAATAACTAAGAATAAAGAATACCAAGGAAGAATATTTGTTGGGGTACGGATGACGGCCATGCGCCTTTGGTTGATGACCACTACAAATCCCTCCTACTGCATCTTCAACCGTCCTTTTACTCTCCCCCTACAAAATCAATATGAGCAAACATAACAAACAGTAATAACTCACGCGACGGTGCCTTTCCTCCAGTAGTTGTCACGTGCTCGCTCCCAATCCAATGGTGAATATGACTTACCTGCGTCGAAGGTTATAAAAAGGTTCTTAAAAGTGCAAACAACAAGGAAACCCCACTTCTGTCTAACCACACTTCAATCTTTGTGAAGCTGTAATAAATAGTAACACAGCTGATGACAACCCAGAATCCTGCGAGGAAAAGTAGTGGATAAACTTCGTAGGCGTGCCCAAGACGGCGAAACATAAAGCTAGAACATTCCAGTGTAATAATCTTTTCAAAAAATGTATTTCACTGTGTCCACAAAGCTGAATACTAGTTGTGACTTAGTTCTATATGGAAGGGACTCGGTGGGCAGTCGAATAAAACGGAGTTGAGGAAGATATAGTACTTTCTAATAGTTAGATATCATCAGCTCTACACCAAGGAAACGAAAGTTTTATGCTAAATTAGTATTGGAAACCAGTCAAAAAGTTTCAGCGTGATAAATGTGATGATGGCAGTGCTTACCTAGCGAGGGTATCTCCCGGCTGCGGTTTGGGTATACCTTCGAATTTTGGATTGCGAGATAAATTTCGGCAATACTTGAAGAAGCCCTGCAAAAGCAGAAAAAATCGAGGACGACCAAGTTTGCACGTAGCTTATAAACCAGGTTATTCACTATATTGCTTGTCAATGGATGTATTTCTTAAGACGGAACATATAAGAACTGTGATTATACTATCGCTTTTCATAGGTTTACATAGAGAGAAGTGTGCAAGTTGAGAACGACGTTTTCATAAATCTGTTCATGGATCCTACTAAATACGAACTTAACTAGTTACAGACTACCGTGGTTTATTAGAAACAGATGTCTCCACAAGATTAAAAAGTCCTCCATCAATAATAGGGTTAATGCGATGTAAGAAGATTCCCTTTATTCCGAACCGGTTCCATCTGATATGAGCTAACATAAACTTAATACTGACAAAACTTCGTATTTCAAATGATTTGTTTCCTCTACCTGATAAACTAAGCAAGACACAACGAATTCAGTTACGTTACTTGGCTTAGCTTACAGGCTCGTTAAGAAATCACATGGAAGCCGCAGTGATGAGTTACTTACAGATTCTCCTTCAGGCTTCTGTAGCTGCACTTTAGATTCTCCTGGAGAGCTGTTGCTGACGCACATCGCATCACCAAAAAGCGGACGTGCACTTGTTTAACATGCCTTGCGGCCAGAACCACTAACATTGACTGAAAGAAGAAAACTCTGCAAGGCTCCTTAAATATTTTCACTGAATAGGAGGCAATCATGACATCATCATCAAAATAAACGCCATCGAACGGAGGAGGGACAAAGGGCGTATGATTTTATTCACCTAGCAATTCATAATCGATGAGACTACAATGATCCTCGTGAAATGTGATACCCAGTGACTTGTAGCGCGAAACAAAAAAACCAATGAATACGAAACATCTGATATTTTCTTACACTATTAAGCTAACACGATGGTTGTCATACATGTTTTATTTGCCTAGCGTTTCAACGTTCTAGTCTTCTTCAGAGCCTCTTTGACCCGAGTCGATGCTCCACAGTGCTTCGTCCATGCGATGTTGGAAATTCACGGTCGCATCGAGTAAAATCCGATGCACTGACGCACTATTCGAATGAAGTTTGCTCACTCGGCGGATCTCCTTTATGAAGAACAGCTGTTGATCTATTAGGCTGCTCAGAAACAAATGGCCATTTCTAACTACATTATTTAAAATGTCATAACTCGCCTAAAACAAATCCTTATTAATCAAAATACAAACCGCTTGAATATACATCTTTTTGCCAATGAAAAACAAGTTTATTCATTTTATTTGCATAAAATCCTGGAGTTCCGGAAGCTACGAATTCGTTGAAGGCATTTTTTGCGTACTTGAAGAGGTGTTAGACGGTAGGCCAGAGGTCTGTTGAATATGGTAAATGAGGCAATGTTTCGTAGCCCAACTCGTTCAACTTCTGCAACGCTGGTTCGGCAGCGTGAGGGCAGGAGTTGTCATGAAGAAGCATTGGCCCTTTTCTATTGGCTGATGGCGGTCGTTGTTGTTGGAGTTTACGGTGCATTTCGTCGACACGTTGGCAATATTTCACCGCTATAATTGTTTCGCCCGGATTAAAAAGCTGTGATTAATCAGCTGGTTGTAGCCCAACAAACAGTCACCGTAACCTTTTTGGTGCAATTTCGGCTTTGGTAAGCGCTGCGGAGCCTAATCGCAATAAAACCATTGAGCTGAAAGGTTGTCGGTTGTCGTATTGAATCCACTTCTCGTCGAACGCCACAATTTTATCAAGAAAAGGTAGCTTTTGTTTTGCGGAATAAGAGCAGATGAGACTTCAAAAAGGCGACTTTTTGCCTGCCTTTTAATACTTGCGACACCATTTTTCGAGTTTTTTGTCTTTCCTATGCGATTCAAGTGAGCGGAAATTGTTTCTGTGCTAACGCTAAACTCTCCAACAGTTGTTCGCGTGTTTGCTTCCACCAGTGTCTTCAATTCATCGCCGTCAAGTTCATTGGGAGGTTCACGGCCTTCCTTGTCATTTGCCGGAACCATGTTCTCACCGTTTATTCGCCATCACTTCAACCCAAACTTCATTAATATCTCGAGCCGTCTCTGCTACACTACGACCGAGTTTGAACCCATAAAAGAAAATTTGACGAAAATTTGTTTTTGACATCTAAAATTGAAAACTCAAAATTGTTAGAAAAATATATAACTTTTGGCAAAATATAAAGACATGTAACTACTATAATGGTGAGATATTTGCAAAACACGCGATATTGCCCTTTCCGGGGAGTAACGCGTTCACCACCACACCATGCGGGTCCTTCGTTTCGCCTGTCTCTTAGCTAGTACTATCGATCTTTTGCCATCAGCAATCACCCGTGAACAGGATTGATCTAGGGAGCCCAAATCGGAAACGAACCCAGTCAAGCTGAAGCTACAGTTATTATAGTTAGTTACTAATGTATTTTTAGGGTCTGGAGTTTTGCAAATATCTCAGCATTTTAAGATTATAAAGACATGGTTAGAGAAAGCATAAAATCGGTTTTTTGATGGTGCATAATTTTGCGAGGTAGAAAAATACTTTATTAGTAAAAATTACATTAAAACAATAAATATTTTAAAACGCTCATTTATTTTAGAAGAACCTAAAATTACCCACCATTTCTATTCGCATGCATGGTGGCAATGCATCCTACAGCAGCCGGTCCTACACTGCCTAGCACATGACCAGTCCATATGTTTAAAAACTGACAAGTAATAATAATTTTCGAAGACAACACTTGAATTTAATGTTTATTAGTCTTCGCTTAAGGAACCTATTTCAACCGCACTGTTACTAGGCAACTCGTCATCGTTGCCTCGGTAATGCTTACTGAGTGCGTGGTATGGTTAACATCTGTACTGACAACAACAACAGCAGCAACACGGAACTCATATATCTAGCCATCCCATTAAAACCTGAATCTATCGACGCAATAACAACTTCGTCAGGAGCGTGTGACGCACCCGCATAAAAAACTACGAGTCCTGCGAATTTTAAAGCGTAGTGGTTCAAAAACGAAAATTTTAAGATTAAAAAAAGCATTAAAGAGACATGAGCGTTTCTATTTAGAAATCTGTGACGAAGGTATGTGTAAAATACTGTCGTCAACGCTTATTCATAGTCCCGCTTGTTAACCAGCAGTACCTAAGGAATGCATGGGTATAACTCACTCATATCTCTCACACTTCATCAAGTCTAATCAACATACTGGTAAACCTGGTAAAAGAACTCGACATTCGATGAAGACAGCGAGCGTTTTGAGAATGAGGCTGCCTACACAATGGAAAGTGCTTGTTGTTAACACAAAGTACAGTTTGCAGAACACGTGGCAAAGTGAAGCATAGGAACTTGTTTACATCTATGAAAATAGATTGCTATAAAAATAACGTTCACAGTTCTCTTGCTAAAGAACTGTCAGTTAAAGAGCTTGTAATTTGCTTTAAAAACTGTCTTCGGCAGAATAGAAGCATCGTACTCATACACGGCTACGATGATCCTGAGAAGGAGATGAACTGTTGCATATTGCAGTGCTGTGTCTAAGAACACTAGTCCATCTGAAACAACTCTTGAACCATCGAAAAAGATAGACGAGAGCGATTATGAAGCAGCTGTTCCATTAATAACATCGTGTTGAAGCGGAAAAGATGGAGGACGGTAACAAAGTACAATGTCGATGTAAATGAAGAGCCGAATCCGAAGAATCTGAGGAAGAGTTTGTTAGGAAGGCCTGAGAGGCTTCTACGGAAGGTATAGATTAGTAGGGAATAGTTTAAAATTCTGGTCTGGCAAGATGAGTGCACTTTTCTCTTTTTTCACTCTCTACTTATCTACTACAATTATTACTCTGATTCGTTTAGTTTTTATTTTTTGAGAGGCATTAACAAATAGCAGAGCGGCAAAGAAAGATAAGAAGTCCACAGTCCATGATCCAAGTGCTATCAGATTTCGTATTTCGTTCTAAATGAAGAAAATTTCAACACGGTATATTTTATTCGAATTAGCAAGAGCAATTTCTTTAATTTGTCATTGTTAGAAGGATCACAGTTTTTAATTTAACTCCAATGTGAACCTCACTAATAATGAAAGAAGAACAGTATATTCCGCAGCAGTTAGGAGGAAATGAGAATGGTTGCTCAAGATGGATTTCTGTTATGGCTGCCGTTGGGCTGGGCGCGATATTGAGCATGGAGACGTGGATAACGAGTGTGTTTGCGCTTAGTATTACTAGTTATTGCTAGTAGAATTGAAACATCGGAAGTGAAGCATTAGTGATGCACATGGCGATGCACGATGACCGATTTCCATGACCAGAAAACCAGTGAGAATCACATTGGATTGATCGGCTTGATACGCTGTTGGTGGTCTGTTTTCGCCGGTGCGATGAACGGGGCACATGCACTTCGGGTTCCTTCAACAATTTGGTAGTGTAAAAGTGCTATTATGTATCAAAAATAAGACAGGAATTTCACGCAGTGTGAAAACGAACACAACGTACACTTCTAAAATGCTGAGATATTTGCAAAATTCCGGACCGCAGGTGTCTGCACTGGGGAACGAACGCGCTATTGTCCTTTCCGGGGAGTAACGCATTCACCACCACACCATGCGGGCCCTTTGCTTCGCCTGACTCTCAGCTAGTTCTATCGATTTTTTTGCCAATCCAAATACCTTAAAAAGAATAGGCAGTAAATAAAAAAGGTTAAGATTGTGATTACAACGTACACTGCTCTTGTTCGGTCAGGCGAAGGCATTATAAACAGAACATCTTCGAACTACTCATTCATCAAAAAATTCGACGACTTGGTAAAGCCACAGTAATAATCACTTCTTTTGTAGTAAGACTAAACTGTAGTGGTGACAGATATATTAGTTTCTTGAAAAAGAGAGTGAAACGTAGAACTAAGCAAGCAAAAACAAGGAAAACATGACCACGACCCCATTAGACTACGGTTTGAGAGATGGTAAAGGAGATGAAATAGAAACGTTAGGAGAAGGAATACCTCATGTGAGAATATAAGCTCCAGAAACCGAACTAATGCGACGGAAATAACTCTACCTGGAAAAGTATTGACGAACTAGCGTGGCTGCTTGGAAAAGTTTTTGTTTATTCATTAAAGGTCGGAGTCCTAGTTGGAGTTGTATCCACACGATGGATGAATCAGCAGTAGTAGCAAGACGACGTTATAGAACAGCCTCTTGCCAACAGTGCTCCGTTCCAAGTCTTTCCAGACGATTAGTTTGCATTTTTATTTACTAGGGTTGATTGTGGAAGACGGTAATGGCGCGCTGGTTAGTGATGTCGTCTATCAGAAAGGAAAGAAGCTAGTTCGATCCTGGCCCCAACGTTCTACTCCATTCCACGTGGAAACGCCTTAAGCCGTCTATCTCCAAGATAGCAAGGAGAAGTGACTCGACCAGTACTTTATGACATTCATAAAGAAGAGGAAATCTTCAAGCAGCAGCTGAAACAGCACATGAAATGTTCGAGGGCCATTGTGGATGCTGGATGCGAGGAAATGAATCGAATACAAGAAGGGCTTGGATCTACGTAATAGATCTGATAACGGGTCATGTAAAATAGCATAAGATAAAAGGGTTGAATGTGTGAGGAGTGCCCATTCAAGGCGCGTTTCTAGTACAAAGGTATTCTCTCATAGAAATCGATTCTTACGTAAGCTGTACAAATTGTAGTGGTTGATTAAGGCGTAGGCCGTAAAGCCGAGATAGGAAAGACGTTTAGCTTCAATTCCTTCATAGAGGATCCATTCCGATCATTCACTGACTTTTCTCCGCTCAGCAGATGCGTAGTTATCAAACTTTGTATCCATCTTGTGTGCTAAGTAGTCATCTGCCACCAAATGTCACTTATAACATTGGAATCGTCTTCATATGTAGTCAGCATCCGGTGTTATATGACTTGTAACATTGGCATCCGATCAGTGCGATTACAAATGAAGAGCACCCTTGGGTAGACATAGATACCAATACACATAGTGAAAGATCTCCTATTAAGTTTGTGAAGTTCAAAGAAATTCTTTTGAGATCGAAGACATCTCGCTGCACTTTGAGAAACGTATCCGTATCATAAATTTCGTTTTTTTCCACTTGGTCCGAATTCGTATTTTAAGCGTTCCCATCACCTTTTGCATTCGCTCCCCCCTATCCAAGTGAGGACGCTCTAGCACGGTTATGCTACGAATCCAGGAACCAAACGGGCGTGGTAGCAATTTCCTGATTTTCGAACGATGAGTGGCTGGGCAAGAACGGGTCGGGAGGAAACAATTTCTGGGTTAGTTGGGCATTGCTCTTTATGAACTGTATCTTCTTCTGAACACGTACCAGAATTGGACCAATTTCGAACAGTTTTAAAGAGATTATGCAACAAATCCTCCAATAAACATAACATACTGCAAGCTCTCGTCAGACTGTCTTCAGGTGTAATGATGTTGCGTTAATGGCTAATGTACCTCGATGAGCACTTGCCGAATCGCTGATATCGCAATGGTTAGAGGAGCTCGGCAAAGCATATTTTTTCGTGGTTTGATTGGCCTCGAGTAAATAAAGTCGTCTGTCACTTTGGTGGTGAAATTGGTGTCACGGAGAAAGGAAACAATGAATAGAAGTGTTGATAACCACCGCAAGCCAGAGATAGATTCAGTCACCTTCGCGTTACTCAGTGGAATTAAACGAAAGTTGCATTCTTCAGGTACTCTTCGACGCTTAATATTCTATCCTTTGTTCTTTTATCCTTTCATGGCGCAAAATAGTCTCAACTTATTCTTATAATCACGTTTACTAAGATTATTTTTATTGATGAAACGATGACAAAGATATATGGGTCACACGTAACTGAAAATAATTTAGCCTTCCAGAGCTCGCTGTGAATTTTACTAACCGAAAAAAAAGGCCTAGACTTTCTTGTCTTCTTGAAGAAAGGAGAGCCAACAAGAATGGTCAAAATTTTATCCTCCAAGCAAGAAAAACCCGCTAGAAACGATATGTATAGTAAATGAATAGATTACTGCTTAGATATTAACTGCTCTCAATTTTCAGTTTACTAAATTTCCAAATATAGCCAGCCTATGACCAGGCGATGTGTTTTATTTGACATAACTTTCGGCGATTTC